GTGGTGCCCAGCGGCGATGGCCACGGGGCTTGGCATGACGAGAGGCATGTGAGCGGAGGGGGTGAAAACCAGCCCCCCCGCGCCCACCCATTGTGGTTGGGGTGAGCTGGGTGCACCCAGAGAGATGAAAAACAGGCCAAACCAGCCCTCTCCTTGCTGCGGGGGGGGACGACACCAGGCGGCACAGACGTGGGAGAGGCTAGTGGTCCCCATCCCCTCGCAAGCAGCGAGTCCCCGCCACGATGTCCCACCAGCATCGCCACCAGCATCACCCAAGCAGGTGACAAATCTGCCAGGAGCCAGACACCCCGACCAGGCTTGTCCCGACATGGCTAACGGCCACGGAGATTAATTACCGAAAATTAATACCCAGAAGAGAGCCGGGGCTAGCGAAGCGAATGGCCAGGGAGGCTGCAGGGAGCCCCGTGGGGCTGACTGGGCTCAGCTGCGCCTCAACGAGCTGCCAGGTCTGCTTTTTAAGAAAAACCACTTTCCTAACGCAGACCATCGAAAGGTTTCGGGGTCAGCCCCGAGCACACATCCTAAACGCACCCCAGGCCCTTGGAGGAGAAATAGCAGCAGGCACCTTGAATGCACACAGATGCAGCTCCTGCCCCCCCAAAAAAAAAAACCCTTCCCCACACACAACCACAGCAAAACACCAGCAAAAACCCTCTTTAAAAAAAAATCACCTCCGACCCCACCAGCCTGCTCTTCATCCATTCCTCCAGCCCCCCCCAGGCTGAGAGCCCAGGGGGAACCAAAGGGGATGCCAGAGCCACAACGGCCTCTCCAGTGCGAAAATCAGCGCCCTGGAATGGGGACAAAGCTGGGGAACTGGGCAACCTCCACCACCGCACAGAGACGAGCTGGGAACAGGGCGAGGATGGGGGAAGTGGAGGGAGGTACTTTAATTTCCAGGCTCCAGGTGGGAGAAATTCACCCCACCCAGCCCTGGAGAGACCAGAGGGGCCATCGTTAGCGCAAACGAGGACCCAGACGGGACCCCCAGGCGCGGGCTGATGCTCTGGCCCATGGGTCTGCTCAAGCTGAGGGAAAAGAAGCCCAGCAAACCTCCGTGAAGTCCAAAAGCACTTCTTGTTTTGCTGAGAGCTTCACCAACGGGGCTGGAAAGGGAAGCGATTGAGACAGCCCCATGCCGCAGGGAAAGCCCCATCCCGCGGCTGCGGAGCTGCTTTCGCTCACCGCTGCTCAGCCCTCCCTGCGCGGGACGGAGATTTTGCAAACGTGCTACGTGCTGCTCTGCTGCAAAGGCCAGATCCTGCCTTGCGCTCCTCCTTCCCCGCCTCAGCTTTTCGGTGCCTCAGTTTACCCACCTGGGAAATGGCAGGGGGCACCCTGGAGTGCTGTGACGGCGGGTGTGCAAGCGGGGTCGGAGTCCCGGCAGCACGGGGGGTTGCTCGCTGTTTTGGGGGGATACGCTGCCGGTGGGGCTGGGGCCGCGGGGTGGCCCGCACACCTTCCCCTGGAGCTGGGGCTCGGTTTTCACGCCCTTTCAAGCACCTCTCCCCCCTCCGGCACTGCGAGGGGATAAGGGAGGGTGCGATGCTCCAACAAAAGGGGATAAAGCCATGAACAGCCCCTTCCCTTTGGCCATGGCGAGGGGCTGGTGGCTCCTGGGTCCCCCCCCGAGGCAGAGACCTTCCGCTAAAAAACAAGACCCCAACAGGTCTCTGCTGCCCAGCGGGGATGGGTGCAGGCAGAGGAGGGATGTCCCCACTCCATG